AAACCAAACATATTGTTGGTTTAAATCATTCAAGTTTGATACCTAAGTAGATGGAATACATTCAGTGCAGTGAGTTCACAATAAATAAGTACTCGTATTTGTTCTGTTCCTGTTCCTGAAATACAGTTTTTTTCTGGTAAGATAAGTGCTTTGCTGTAATGGATTTGGACATAGGAATTCATTACGATCTTGGATATACAGATTTAGTTAATAATAACCCATTGATAAACTGTGTCGGGTCAACCCTCAATGCAAACCTCGCCTGACTGCGAAATTTACTGGATAGGTGGTATATGGTATAAGATACTATTTTTAACCCATCTAAATTATTTTTTTCAGCCCAATAAATCACAGAAGAAAAGTTGCCTTATCTTCATGAGCTGTTGAAAGACTACAAATTTTTTATTTTGGAAATTATGCATTATGGATCCTTCAAAGGAGCGGACTTCCCAACATTAGGAACTAGAATTGACGATAGGACGATTTTTGACCAGGGATGTGCGTCTACACGTAAACATTCATTGTCTACTTTACGTGGAGACAATGTAGACAACGTGTCAACAATGTAAAATAATATAAATGACGTTTAATTCTAACCTCACACTTTCCTTTTCAATAATTATTTTTATTTTATTATGGGTTTTCCTCATATTTATAATCAGTGAATGCTGATATCAAAGTGATAGGTATAAGCTACTTAGGTAGTAGGTAGTAATTTTGGAACTTTTTTTTAAATTTTCTAAAATAAGTTTATTGTTTACGTCACATGTAGACAATGTGTAGACAAATGCCCACGTAAACAATTCGAATTGTCTACACGTAGACAATCAATTGTTTACGTTGACATTGTCTACAGGCACATCACTGTTTTTGACGTGTTGGAAGAGACCTATAATGCTATAATTTAGTTTTGCGCGTGGGTAGGGATGGCAATCATATATCGATGTTTTGTAGAAATCAAAATATTATCGATATATTTTAATTCATATTTACATTCGATATATGGAAAAAAATATTGATAAAATCTCTTCGATATATCGGAACTTTTACAATAGTCGCTTTCGGAAAATTTGATCCGATTAATTTCGTTAATTAATTAATTAATGCTCGATTGGATTAGTAATCTCATCGTTTGTAAAATGATCCGAAGTCGAGTAGTCGCGTTCGGTGAGTGATCTTGTTGACTGGTTTTCTCATATGTTTGTGATCTCGTTAACTGCTCTTGACCTGCGTAGAAAATTAATCTATCAGCTGTTTGATTTCTTTGGTTATGTGTTATGTTTATTTTATATGTTTTGTTTCCTATTTGTGTTTGAATTCTTGTGATTTGCTGTGTTAAGGGTGGTTTGCCGTGCTTTTGAAAAGTCAAAGGTAAAGACGTAATCGTTCGGAAACGTTGAATAAAAGACACTTTAAGCAAACCCTAAATTTCTCTAAATATCCGTATCCGCATCCGTAAACGCATCGACTTACGTTGACCGCCTAAGTCCTTTTAAGCATGATCATACACTACGTGAACGATATCTTATCCTTGGATGGAACATTTACTCACCCCAAAAAGTGTTGTATTGATATTGTAACTGTGTTTGTAGGTTTTCTTTTTATCTATCAGTACCGTGTTTATGTTGTTAAAGATATTTTAGTGATAACCGACAGGAAGATCTCTCAATGGTGTAGAATGATTGAGATACGTGATACGTTTTCGGATACGTTTTCGGATACGGATACGAGACGACGCCCGTAACGATACGGAACGCAACGCAACGAAATTACCGTATCTATTCTGCGCATGCGCGGATCGATGCGAATACGGATACGTTTGAAATTCAGGACCTGCTTAAAGTGTCTAATCTACTCTGAAAACGAGCTAAACCACGATTAGCTGATATTAACTTATTCGATGCAGAATTTACATTTCCGAAAGCAGCTAATAATACAGGCTTTTCATCCGTACTTGCTACCTGCTCGAAAAATCAGGAAGATCGGCTAGGAGCTGCTATTTTATGAGCTTATATATATGAGAGTCACGGCCCACCAGAGTTATTAATCAAGTGAACGACGATCAGCTGTTGAGATCTGCTTGAAACAAGAAAAGCAGTACAAATGAACAGCCTAATAGTTCATTGGTTGACAGTGACAGTTGATAGAGGCGTCTAAAATGAAACAAAATGTCAGGAAGCATTTCGACATGAAAGTACCAGGGTGACTCAACATTGCATAATTATTTTACTTTTCCGCACCAGTGCCTAAATGCGTGCAGAAAGAAGCACTTCTCGCATGCTCGTAAAAAAAATTAGCCTCCGGCGGCGCCTACGACGAGCTTCCCCCTCCCCCTATAAACAAATTTTTTAAAGTTATTCTGCACCCATGAGGATTTTCAAAATTCGGCGCCTCTGTTCGTATGTATAAATTGCCTTATGGACATAACGTGAAATTTGAAAATATAACATATAATATAACCTGCCTCCTACACTGTATCCATTATAATTTAATTTCAGACCTATCTATTTAGTAGGCTTATATTTTATATTGTTAAGAAATAATTTGTTTTAGCTTTAATCGAGGCTTTAATTATTAAACTGTTTTTTGAAAAAAAAAAAAAATGTTTTTTATTCTAAACACCTAATCCAATTATATTACCAATAATTAGTAATAATTGGATTGAATTGTATATTCGACCATATTTTAATTAATAAAATATGGTCAAATATACAATTCAATTGACAACAAAACAAAAAATAGTAACTGAACAATAAATATGTAGGTGGAGAACAAAAACTGTGGTCAATATATATTATTTAATAAGGTTGCTGTACAAGATATTATGGTTGCTCAACTATTAGTGGTTTATGTAAACTAATAAAGTAGTTTAGGGACTATGAAATGTTTAGATCATAAATAAACAAATATATTATTGAAAATGACAATAAAAATTGTTTGCAAACAAGATTTTTTTAACCATATTTTTTTGGTTGATTTAACTATGAAACAAGATAGACGCCATTTCATATAGCCATATACTCTTTCTGGTTGATTTTACTTTTACCAATCATTTTCTTTGAGTGTACCTACCTATATTACAACGATATTGCAACTTTACAACAAAGTACCTACAGTTTCAAATTCTTTTGAACTGGTCTACAGATTTACAATATGAAAAAGCTAAAAATTCCATTCCAAAAAGTGTTAAATTCATCTCTTTTGATGTTAAAAATATACTCCTAAGTGTCAAACCTGATGAAGTATTAATTATTATTATAAACATTATAGATGAAGATCTCTCATGAGAAATATGAATTATCTTGAGAACCAGATTATCGAACACACAGTAAGCAAAAACTTTTCATACTGGGTAGGTATAACATAAGATGTTTATTACCTAAGATTGGCATATACTTATTCTCGTTAAACAATGTAAATAAAACATTCAAAATCTTAACTCATACATTTACTTATAGTTGGTCTCAAAATGTCTCAATACGAGTGGAAAACCTAATACCTATAATAATATACAGCTTTCACGACAAATACCCAATATCCTAAGACATTGATCAGGCAACATTCAGTCAAAAAGAGGTAGGGTAGTCCGGAGGTTATCGTCTCAACTAGCTGTCGAACCTACTTGCTCAAAATTCTACATTGTTAGACAGGAATATTGTCTGACATTCGTCTCAAAGAAGTCGAAACATGTTTTTTTGAAGAAGAATTACATAATCTAAACCTTAACGAGGAAGACATCAATAACGATTTTAAAATAACAGATACATACATGCACATATAGATGACAAGTCGAAAGAAGCTAAATTAACTAGAAAATATGGAAATTAACCAGATATAAAAGTCTGATGAATTGTTGAACGACAGGTAGAAACCAATTAGAACAAGTATTCTCCTTTCATCAAATTTGTAGGCATCCAGTATACTTCAATTTGTTAAAAAATAATTAAGTATAGGTTCAGTAACCGAGAAATTAGAAAATAAGTTTTGTACGTTTAGTTTTACATCCGAAGAAGACACAATGTCGAAAAAATCTATAACGAAAGGTTTTGGGAATGAAGTAAAAATCCTTATTGTCTTTGTCAATATTGTGGATTTGCATCGGGTATACTAAGTAGGCCAAACAGGTCTATGTATTAGTAATTATAAATCTGTTTCTGGAGAAATCACAAACCATGAGTCAGAGCGAATGTCATCGGTTGAAAACAGTCAGAAAACTAGTTTCAACCAATGAAATTCACTCTGACACCGGTTTGTGATATCTACAAAAACAGACCTTTATATTTTAATATTTTGTATGTTTTTCTATATAAGTTATCCTTGCGAAAAGTACCTAATTGTTTCGTACTTGATTTAACGACATTAACGACAAGACATTTGACATTTGTGGAAAAGTGGTGCTTTCCGAATAGCTAATTAGGTACGTCTTATAGGCTATAAATTGCTGTACTTAGTTTTAAAAACTTTTTATAAAATATACCTATTTCGAAGGTTTTTAAACGCATTTTCGTAGGAGTTTTGGGCATAGTTTATGTTACCAAGAAAATTATTTATCGTCTAATCTGTAACAAACATAGATATAATTAGCAAAAATAAATTGTGAAAAGTGTAAACCAATTCTAAGCAAAAGATAACTGCTGTGAGTGGTCCTTCTGAGCCGGACCATAAAGTGACATTATGTTTTTGCTATGCCCGCAGAGCTTTAAAATCAAAGAAACAAGACTGCTTGAACAAAAACATTCCTCACAGGATACTAACCCAAACCGAGAAACCAAAACCTCGTCTGCAAAGAATCTCAAACTTCTTCTTCGTTCTTCATCTCGCTCCGGGCAATGGCGGTACGCGGCCACACCTTTTCAGTTCCAATTGGTAACGTAAAGGTCTAGAGGTGGAGCCATGAGCCACGTGCTATTTTTCCCACGTGCAAGGCTCAGTCCAGACAAAGATCGACGGCCAGATAAAACCAAAAACTCCTCCTTTGATAGAACCGATTCGGGAGCGGTCGTGAAGGTCCGTCGTTCGGAAGGCAGCATCCCTACGGGGCCCCGGTCCAGTTGATGTCTCAAAGTAAATACCGAAAGGTGCACAGAATTGTTTATTTTTTGCGGAAGAACGGACACCTACCTCTTTCTACTCCGGGTGATATATCGGCAGTTTTTTTTTTTTTTTTTCGAGTTTGATAAATTATATATTACACCCCCCTACCAAATTAAAATAAAAAAACGAGAACAATGAAACAAATAATAATAAATAATTTCGTGATAAGGACAATGTGTTTTGTGATTATAATAAATCATTCGGGATTTTTTGTGGATTGTGCTGAAGCTAATGTTGGTACTGATGTTACAATTGTTGGAGTGGCCAGGAACAAGAATAGAGGCAAAGGATCTATGTGGTGGTACGTTTATATTCTAGTAAAATTCTCTGGAAGATTAAATGGTATTAACTGTGCTAATACCATAGTTAACTAATATCTACTTAATGTTAAGATTTTTAATTTTCTTCTGGATTACTGAGGGTTTTGACTAAGGGTTGATTGGTTACCAGTATTGAAAAACATTTGAAATATCTTCAACTTGTTGCTAAAACACAAATTATATAGCCAACCTTTTATTAACTCGCGAGGGTTACTTGCATACTTGACTGTGTGTCACTACTAGGTATATCAGTTAAATTTCATGCGGTTTCAGTAGATTTCTTGGAGAATCTACGGAAAAAGATTGCCAGGAACTGGGTACATAAAGTTTCAATAACAACAAAAATTGCTAATTGCATTTCAAAATAACAAATAAAAGAAATGTTTTAGCTAACATTCTGGATTTCAATTTTTTATTGCGTAGATTTGCGATGTACTTATACACGATAAACAAAAAGAAAATTACAAAATATAGGTACTTCCTATTTGATTTACTTACTTTAATTGAAACCATCAACTTTATTTATTTCATAATACCTATTCTACACAAAATTTCAAGATTCTTCCATGTGGTAGGTATATATGAAAAATTATTGCGGCCAAACAAATAACAGTATATAACAAACAACAGTTCATTCTTTAATGAAACAACAGTAAAATAATACTCCTTATTTCCTAATGATTCAAATAATAATAAACCATTAGTGAATGCCGGAATTATTGTCCCCATTCTATTTCTTCACATTGATCCATAATATTCGAACTCTTTATAAAAGTTGTGAGCTCAACTATATTTAGGTAAAACATTGTCAGTACCTGTACCAATTTTATTTCTAAATAGTACAAATATCTTTATCCTATGGATACTTTCTCTGATTTCTGTTGTCAGCAATACCATCCCACACTCACCTTTTGTGGATACTGGAATGATATTAGGTACATAATTCTATAAGAAAGAACAAAGAACAAAATTATTTTTAATAGAAGGGATGTTGCACATCATTCAACATTTTGTTCGAAAAATTGCAACCTAATGCCATCTATTTTTCTTTTCTTATTTAGGTAATTTGTTTCAGTTTTTAATTTTTGTCTTTGTATATATCATTAAATTATTATTAACTTTCATCAAGTATCGACTACCTCAGTCAACATGGTTTTTCAAGCTTTTTCGCTGCATTAGGTGCGAAGTTTTTCCTATAAGCACATACCTACATAGGCATCTATTTCAAGACCAAAAACCAGTCTAAAGTAGCCCTAAGCATAATAATGGGACCTGTGGGAATGAAGACGTGGCTCTCACCCCTGTTGATAGAGATTCAATTCAGAAAAAGAAAGAATTATTTTAACCCATCAAGTGACCGAATTATACAGAAGAAATATTCCACCGCTAGCTTAAATAAGAAAGCAGAAGAAGAAATAGAAGAATCCTTATAATAGGTATTCAGCAAGGAAACCAATTAAAGGTAATTCCGTTGTTGAATATTTCCAATTCCTTTTATGTTTGTTACATGATATTATTTCTTATTTAATAAGGTATATTATTTCTTACGTATTATTTCCTATGGTCAAATTCTAAAAAAAGTTATCAGAGTCAACTAAACATTATCAAAAATTAATCTAAATGATCATCGAACATACTAATATTATTACAGATTTTGTGTGTAGCTATGAATCCACCAGCATTTTCTCATCAGAAATAGAGTTGATTATCATTATCAAACAAGATATTTTAGATATTGGCTTGGTGTGTTTCCATTATTTTTACATTTCTGATGACGATCTTATCATGGGTAATGCATTTTAATATTAGATGAGATATTCATGAATCATCTAGAGAATCAGATCTTAGAACACTCATTTAGAATTACGCCTTAATTATTATTACATATTTATGTTTGCAGGCTAAAATTTAAAAAATGTTTAATAATGAGGCATTTTTCCTTTAGGCTAAGTCGAGTAATTTTTACGATTTAATTTATGTCAAGCATTTTCTTATTGCCTACCTTTCAATAAAAGCAAAATTGCAATTATTACATACACACACTAAATTTACATAATCCAATTCAATCCGATAATAAATAAATATCAATTGCACTTATAACGTGTTTTACTTGACATTAATTAGTCCAATAGGTGCTTAACCAGAACATGTCTATTAAAAGCATGCAGTGTTTTCTTTTTTTTCGACATAAATTAATTATCATATTATACGCAGCTACTTTTATATTGCCAGTACACCAACGTACCGTGTCAAAAGGCATTAAAAGCGAAACTTAACAATATGACGAATCGCTAATAACTCCTTTTGCGACCGTTGTAAATCGTACCAATTGTCCCAGGGACGGAGTACTTTCATATTTGCATATTATTGTAGGTATTGTGTCTTGGTACCTGTACTGTTCTACCCCAGGAGTAAGGTGTTTTTCTAATGACAAGCTTTTTTTGCTTACAGCATCCTTATGAAAGACGAGTGCGGTATATCGGATGTACCGCATTTGCAATGTAGAACATTTCAAGTAAGATGATAAATTTATGAAAAAAAGATTCATTACGGCTCCAAATTTGAAGGGTCTCTGAGAAATATTGGGTAACTTTTTGGTGCAACAATCTGCTACCATCACAATTGTTGATAACTACTTCAGAGTAGGTTGGCAACCATGCTGACAACCATGACTTTATGGATCGTGTTGCGTGTTGGCTTCCCATAACGTTGTCAGGTTCTTCAGTCATCGAATACGTCTTTTTCCATGTCGTCTCCTACATTCTATTTTTCCTCCTTATAATCTATAGTAGACCACTTTTTTGGAGGTCGCATAATATGACGGAAGTATGCCATTCTCCTCGCCTTGATTATCCTGGTGAATTCTTTTAAATTCATTCTCAAGATAGCTTGATTAGATGTCAGATTATTTAAAGTATGGGTCTTCATATCCACATCCACATCTCACCTTTCCTGGTACAGCTTTAGTTAGTATCCACATTCAGGCAGTGTGCCGTGAGGAAGAAGTAGGTACGGTTAAACAATATTATTTAGCAATAATATTCTTTGGTACGGTGAATAAGAAACCTTTAAAATATTTAGTTCGTAGTTTGTTCAAGGTTGAGATCGCCATCTGGTTCCCGCTTTCATTGATGACAGAACTAAGTAACGGAACTTCTCCACCATTTCCCACTGAAAACCATTTCTCACAAAATAGAATGTACAGTTCTCATCCATATTTCTCACAATTTCCTGTTGTTTTGGTTAAGAAGTACTTGCAGGCTTTGAGCACTGTTAATCTCAGAACTGATACCTAAGAACTTACCACGGTAGATAGCATTATCGTACCCTACAACTTTACAAGGACCATTTCCAGAGAAAATCATAATGTGATCGTGTTCACACAGATAAGTTAATAACAGTAAGCGCTATCACTAATAACTTTACCTCAAGATTTCAAGAAATTATATACCTATATTGTTATTGTCGGCGTTATTTAAATTATTTTTTCACTTAATTAATCCACGTTTCTATTTTCTGCAAGCCAACAACTGAAAGATCATCTTTATTATGGGATCAGTTTCAATTTCAACCTATCGTCAATATTGTATTTCCTCGTTCGATAAATCTTCCTCCATAAGATAGAGAAAGAAAGCCGGTGGTAGGATTCTCTGAAGAACAAGCAAAACGATATCGGACATGTTATCTTTCTAGCTCTTGTGACAATAAAGACTTTTTTGTGATTAAATATATTAAATCTATTTTTACCTTTTTTAATTAATATGACACTAAGTAATTTTTAACTTATTTTTGACCTTTTTTTCCTCTACAAAATGCATGATCTGGCAGCCTATGATATCCATCCCTGTTAATATATGAGCTAATTTATTGATGATGAGATTTACTAATCTCGAAACATGTAGGGCCGTTTAAAACTATTTAAGTATAATTTGTGGAGGAAGACTTTTGTGTTTTTCTTTTGAATTAAATTTCGACTCCACTTTGAGATATGGACTTCTTTTTCAATTTAACTTTCGTCTTCCCATTACAAAAAAAAATACGTAGATTCCCACGTGAGGTACATTCGCACCCCATGATAAAAATGATACTTCGGATAATTAAACATTTTTTTATTTATACTAAACAGTTATAATAGATAAAATCAACCTATAACAAGAGTACAGTTGGCGAGAAAAATAGTAAGAAAATGGTATTTTCGACCATTGCGTGCCATCTTTCGATTTATAAATCAGATTTTTGCCTTTTACTTCCCGTAAACTTTGGTTCTCTTCCTGCTGCACAAATATTTCCTGACCAGCTTTATTATCGTGATTTTTATATTTTTCCTGCAAGGTGACTACTTGATAGAGTAACCACAGATTCCCACATGGGGTACATCATTGGGTGCATGTGCCCCACGCTATGCAAAAATCATTATTTCTGAAAAATAAATAAAAAGAAAATGTTTGATGATCACTAATTATGTGCAAAGCCCTTACTTGTTTGGACTAAAAAAATTATACCTATTATATAAAATTATTGTTATCAGTTGAAATTTGTTTAGAATTTAGGATTTTCATTTAATTTGACAACGCCGCTTTAAATCTTTTAACAGAGGGCGCAATTTTCCCAAAAAGCGGAGATTACCTATTGGTTTTTTAAGAAAGGGTTGACTTCTCCGTACTTGTTGCATAAGCACGCATTAATTTTCTTTTTGTACCTTCGAGAAAGTAAAAATGTTTTGTTACTATTATGAGAAATATAAATTTATTTTGTTGAAACTTTAATAACGTGTTTCTTCATTTCCCTATAAAGGGTGGTCCTTCGAGTAAAATTAAAAATTAAAAAGTAAAAACAAGAGCAGTCTGCTCACTTACTGACACAAAATAAAATTAGTAACAAAAAATATGCACTTCTTGGGAAAATATGCTAGAAAAATTGTTTTCTGGGGTACATTTGTACCCCATCCGGGAAGACGAAGGTTAATAAATGAATAGACAAT